CTTGGCCTCCTTAGGCCCTGCCCATGCCACTAAGGCTCTACAGTAGGTGGCTAGGCAAGGTTGCAACCACTTAGGGTGTGCCTGGGCTACATTTAACCATGAATCAATATATGGAAACTGATCTGGATGCCCTGGCTGTCCTCAGGCTCTGGTTACCACCCTGGCCAATGGTTTTTTTGGTCTATCATTCCTTCGGCTGGTCATCCAACCCCAAAGAAAGGCCGTTTTAAGTCACACAAGGTTCTTAATTTCTGAGGGTGAAGGGGGGCAGGGAGGGGGTATCCAAAAGACACTCCCAGCTTCCTCCCAGTTGGAAGAGGTTCTTGGCCCCGGAGGTGCAGTGAGTGTACCGTTGGAATAAATACTGTGAACCCAAAGAGTTTTGTGGAAGAGCGATTTATTAGACAGAGAGGGGGGGGAGAGAGAGAGAGAGAGAGAGAGAGAGAGAGAGAGAGAGAGAGAGAGAGAGAGAGAGAGAGAGAGAGAGACAGAGAGAGAGAGAGAGAGAGAGAGAAAGGCAGCTCCCACTCTGCCATGGGAGGTGATCCAGAGAAAGAATCCCTATAGGGAGGGAGCAGTGAGATTTTAACCCTTGAGTTATTCCATCCCCATTCATGTTCTCATCCAATGAGAGGAGTTCTTTCAAACTTCCTTTGGAGTGATTGATCTTTGACTCTGATACCGGATTGGCTACTTTGTCCAACAGCGCCCCTCCTCCCAGAGCTTTTGGCAGGCTTTTTGGACATAGGAGCCCACTTGGATTTCTCCACCTAGCCGTTGTGACCCAGACAAAGAACTTTACCTTCCGGATGGAGGTGGGGAGCCAGGAAACTCCTGCCTTTGAAACCATGCCCCTTGCGGACCCGGGAAGAGGTTTTCTTTGACACAGTCCCTCAAGGGGACAATTTCACTCCATAGTCTCCTGGGAAGCCGTTCTTACAGTTCTTTAACATGCACTCTAGTGGCGTGGGTTTTGACTCTTTTCCTTCCATTCTCCCACAGAGGCGCACTCTCACAGACTTTCACCTCGGACCGATTGCCATCTCCTGTTGCGGGAGTTTTCAGATTGCTGCTTAGCTAGGAGAGTACCTTGTTCCCGCCACCGTCAGCTGCACCTGCGTCCTGTCAGCCCTGTACCGTTAGCCCCTAACAGATTAGCCCTCACTCACTTCGGAGCACGCTGTCCACCTAAGGGACCTGCACCTCTGCATGCCCCGCGTTGGCGCCTCCTGGAACCGTCTCTTTCACACACTTCCACACTCCTACCCGCTTTCCCATTTTCCTCTACAAACTGTCTTAATAAGTCACCCTGTTCCGTGTGCCGTTGAGAATGTGAGTTTCATCCAAACCAGCCGCCGTTCTCACTTCCCCCAGCCTTTCTGGGTTGGACTAATAGTCACTTCTCAGGAATTGCTCAGACACCCCTTCCACCCTCTTGGGACGGGCTTTTCTTTCTTTTCCTTTTTTTTTCTTTTGGACCCTAAATGCCTTACCGTAATTCCTGAATTACGTTGGTCCTGGAGATCATCCTGCAGCCCCTTCCAAGGTTCCAATGCACTGTCTGGGAGTGGGTGCTGGGGTGTGGGAGAGCTGGCTTCCTATCCGGGCTAAAGTTGCTAAAGTTCTCCCCGTGGTGCCTAGGGTTGTGGGTCCTCCCCTCCCTCAGTCTGGGGCCTTGATTCCACAGGCAAAGGAGACAGTAAGACTGCCATCTCCAGCTCCTGTTCAGGCACCAGAAAATGTAGCAGGAAATCCAAGATCTGGAGAGACTGATGGGGTTGCAGGTGGATTTTATTTAACGTGATCACGGGCTCAGTGGAATCGCTTCCTAATTCTGAGCAAAGCACAAAGAAAATGGGGTGCCTTTATGTGCCTGCTTGGTACAGGATGACAAAGCAGGAGGCAGGTTTACAGAAGCCAGAGCAAAGAGCAGTGAATTAACTTGTGGCATGTCTTGTGATGTACTTTACATTTGAAAAGTAACATCTTGAGAAACACATTCCACAGTTTGAGTTTATTTGCTTTGTGACCTTGCAGTTGGTCAGCAAGAAAAACAGGAATTTCTAGATGCCTGGGAACTTTGCTAAGAATGTGGGAGGATAGATAAGGTTAAATGGTTTACAGAGCTGGGAAGTATATTATATTAAACAGCACACAGCACAGCAAAATTTACTTTATTATATAGGAACTACAAATTACCAGGTTTTGTTTTTACTTTTATTGCTATTATTTAATTCCCTTCTTCAGTCCCAGCTACTAGGGAAGCTGAGGCAGGAGAATCACTTGAACCCAGGAAGCAGAGGTTGCAGTGAGTCAAGACTGTGCCACTGAACTCCATCCTGGGCCACATAGTTAGACTCTGTCTCAAAAGAAAAAAAAAAAAAAGAAATGTGTTGCCTTTATCCTTTGGGATCATGTGACACCAGTGCCTGTGTGGGACATTACCACATATCTTGAAGTTAGGAAGATCTAAGGTCAACTAAATCACTTACTTCTCCACCCAGAATGGCCCTCTTCTCTTTGCCCCCAGTTGTCTGTAGGCCGTGAAACAGAGCTTCTATTAGGCCAGGTCTAAGCAAATCATGCTTACAAAGGAAGATGGAAGAGGTGATCTACTTCTTCTGCAACATGTAGGATTGGTGGGGACTACAGGCAATGTAGACATTTTTAGGACTGGTCATTTTAGGAAGGGGCATACACATTGAGTACAGGAGGAGGAAGACCACGTGTCTGGGAATTCTGATCCTAATAGGATGACTGCTTAAGGTGACTGTATAAACCCAATCATAATGCTGTGTCTCCTTTGAGGCCTTCTCAATCTCGTAATTAGATGAGAAGTTACTCTTTTTATTGAAATTGTATCAGCTATCCTCCAGATTCTAGGCTAGTTTTATAGTTTTTTTTTTTTTTAAAGAGATAGGGTCTCACTATGTTGCCCAGGCTGGAGTGCGGTGGCTATTCACAGACACGATCCCACTACTGATCAGCATGGGAGTTTTGACCTACTCCGTTTCCAGCCTGGGCCGGTTCACCCCTCCTTAGGCAACCTGGTGGTCCCCTGCTCCCGGGAGGTCACCATATTGATGCCGAACTTAGTGCAGACACCGGATCAGCATAACACACTACAGCGCAGAACTCCTGGACTCAAGAGATCCTCCAGCCTCAGCCTCCCAAATAACTGGGACTATAGGCACGCACCACCGCGCCTGGCTAGTTGTTTTTTAAACATTTAAATTTATTTATTTTTTTAAGAGACTCGCTATATTGCCCAGGGTGGTCTCAAACTCCTGGGGTTACGTGATCTCCCTCCCCAGTCTCCAAAGTGCCGGGATTATAGACATGAGCCACCCTGCCCAGCCTTTGTCATTGTATAGTTTAGTTTAGGTTTTTGCTTATATACTGTGTGTGTGTTTCATGGAGATGGAAGGTTAAGAGTCATTAGTTTCCCTAGTCTGAGCAGTGTGATCTCGGTATTGACTAGAGTGGGCTACAGTATTATATTAATACTTCAGATACTCTTTGAATATTATCATTGTATTTACGACTTTCTCTTCAGGGAAAAGAAAGTGATGGCTCTTCCTTTTTGAGTCTTCCCTTTTGTTAACATTTGGTTTGACAGAGGCAACTTGAGTTTGGATAAAAGTTTTATATGCTGTGGTAGGCAGATTTCTAAGATAGATCCCTTTGATTCTCCGCCTCCCAGAATTTACATCTTGTGTAATTCCCCTCCTCTTGGGTGGAGATTAGACTAAGTAACTTGCTTTTAACAAATCAGTTGTGGCAAAAGCGATAGACTGTCACTTCTGTGATTAGGTGACAAAAGTGCTCTCACTCAAACTCTCTGTCATTCTCTTTCACTCTTGCTTGCTTTTGCTAATGAAGCCAGCCACCATGATATGAAGCTGCCCTAAGGAGAAGTCCATGTGGCAAGGGACTGAGGGCGGCCTCCAGGCAATAGGTAGCATTGAAGTGACACCCCCAGTCTAATTGCCCACAAGAAACTGAATCCTACCCACAACTAAATGAGTAATCTTAGAAGAGCTTCTTTCCCTCCTTGAGCCTTGAGATGACTGCAATTCTAGCCTACACCTGATTGCAGCTTTGTAGGGAATTTTTAGCTGGACCACCAGCTAACCTGAGCCCAGATTCCTCACCCACAGATACCATGGGATAATAGATGTTGTGTTAAGCCGCTAAATTTTGGCATGATTTGTTAAGCAGTGAAAGGTAACCAATGCACATGCTAATATTTTAGCTACCACGTTTGGAAGCTTGCCTTGGTCATGAGCCCATTTCTAATGATTTAGTTTCTTTGCTTTGAGAGCAGAATATAAATATAGTGAGACTGTATTCATTTCCCAAGAAGGTATAGAGAAACAAGAAGCTGGTGTTCACAGGGGAGACTGGGAAGACAGGAGTGTGTTTGTCATGGGATGGAATATCTCTAACTTTCAACCTGTCATTTTATTTTTCCAGTGTGGGAAAGAAAAGTTTTGAAGTCAGAGACTCTTCTATGTGTATTGCAAAAGATGGCAGGCTTAGACTTACTTTTATCTTAAAATAATTTTTACAAATGTATCTGTACCCTCTGTTTATTAGAGCATTAGGAGCAATTTGGAAAGGAGCAAAGAGGGAAATTTGAAGGAAGACTGAACCTAAAGAGGTTCAAGTTGCATCTTACTCAAACATGCCGAGAATGACTCTGCAAATCATCTCACCCTCCACTGTAAATGAACATCCTTGCCTCCAAGGATGTAAGAGCAGAGCCTTGTACTGTTTCACACATGTGCTCTGCAAATGAATACACCAGGTAGTGCTTAGTGATCAATGAAGTCAGGCAGATGGGATGTGCTTGCCTTGCATGTACTGTGTCCTGGATATGGGCATCAAGGAAGGGCTTGATAACAATGAGAAGGAAGAACAATAGGATTGAGGAAGTGGAGATGACACTTCCTCTTCTTTCAAAAGAGCTTTACTCTCTGATCAGCTTCGAATGTTAGTTCTGGGTTGACGGCACCTCCAGAGTTGAGGCTGCTTTGAGTAGAATCCTCAAGCTTGGCCTCAGAGTACTATGAGTCTTTGGATTCCAGGAATAGAGAGACCAGCCTTGGATTTACTCTCTTCATATTGCATGTAAGTAAAATGACTTTTTGGCTGATGTGTGAGAGGTAATTGCTTGACATATCAAGATGGCAAAGCAATGGATACCCTAGCACTCTCCTTAGAGTAGTGAGGTAGGAAGTGTGGCTTTGGGGATATGATATTCGCTCAACCCTCTGTAATCTGGGAAACCAGGTGCTAAAGATTCTCTAATTCTGTGAAAGCTTTGGAGGAGGAGAGAGGTGTGTACTCTCTCTGCTTTTCTTTTTCTTAAATGGGTGTTGTCCTAATAGGTGTTTGGACTTCAGACCACGGGTTTGATTTAGAAAAGCAAAATTCAACATGTATTTGGAGAAGCGCTCTGTGGCTGCCCTCTTTCGAGAAAGTGTGTTCTTTGTGGGGAAGTTTCCTTTACATGGAGGCAGCTGGAGAGGATTTTACACTTTGATGAAGGTCTCAGGCTCAACAAATATCTCTGGTATGAAAATGAAAGCGAGGTATTGTTGGTTCAGAGGCTTTTAGTAAGGGTGTCTGGGGCACTTGATTTTTCTTTGCTGGGGTATACGTGAAATAATTTAATTATAGGAGTCAGAATTACAACCCACTGAAGCATCTTTGACTACAGAAGTGACATTGTTAGTCTTGAGTGGCCTGTGTTCCTAGTGCTGTCCTTGACATTGTGTAGTAGGAGTACATAAAGTCTAATTTCTATCCAGTTATTTATTTTATGTAGAAAATAGAAACAGAGGGCCGAGCATGGTGGCTCAGGCCTGTAATCCAAGTACTTTGGGTGATCAAGATGAGACGATTACTTGAGATCAGGAGTTTGAGACAAGCCTGGGGGCAATAATAAGACCTCATCTCCATGGGGGAAGAAAAAAGAAAAAGAAAATAGAAACAGAAGGCTAGGCACTGTGGCTCAGCCTGTAATCCCAGCACTCTGGGAGGCTGAGGTGGGTAGATCACCTGAGGTCAGGAGTTCGAGACCAGCCGGGCCAACATGGTGAAACCTTGTCTTTACTAAAATTACAAAAATTAGCTGGGCATGACAGCATGTGCCTGTATCCCAGCTACTCGGGAGGCTGAGGCAGAAGAATTGCTTGAACCTGGGAAGCAGAGGTTGTAGTGAGCTGAGGTCACGTCACTGTACTCCAGCCTGAGTGTCAGAGCAAGACTCTGTCTCAAAAAAACAAACAAACAAACAAAAATGAAAAAGAAAATAGAAACAGAAAGAACACACATTTTTTTCTGCTCACATCATGCAAGCAAGGAGGAAAAGGTAAGTTTGTAAGTTTGTGTATGTGTCGATGAACTCGTTCTTTAATTTACCTTTTAATTTCCTTCCATTCCTCTCTTTATAAATCAAGTGTCTTTTCTGGAGTGGGCCCATGCATGAACTATTTCAGGCAAATAGTGTTAAGCAAATATACATCATCAGAGTATGGAAATAGGAAGTTCTTTCCTGCGGTAGTTTGCTGTGGCAATAAGAGATAAGAAATTACTTCATGACTATTGCCTGAGACTTTCCTTTTGACTCGTGTGTCCTTTTGAACAGCTCGCTTCTGCTTTCCATCGAGCTTGGAGGCTCTGCAGTGGGAGCTCAACATTGAAGTCCAGGTTGACAATTTGCAAGTAGGTCTAATGTGGCAAATGGTGTGTGTGTGTGTGTGTGTGTGTGTGTGAAGAAAAATCCTAAAAAACAAGCTTTTTAGTCCTCAAGAGAATCCTGTGAATGGAGAGGTTACTTGTGCTCCCAAGTGCTCAGAACAGTGCCTGCTCTTGAGACTATTTGTTGAATGAATTAATAACTGCGATAATTCATAAAATGACTGTGGTAGGAAAGCCATTGCTTTATCTCTGTTGCTCAGGCACTTAAAAAAGTGAAGATAAGGTCTGGGCATTGTGGCTCACATCTGTAATTACAGCACTTTGGAAGGTCAAGATGGGCAGATCACAAAATCAGGGGTTCGAGGCCAGACTGACCAACATGGTGAAACCCCTTCTCTACTAAAAATACAAAAATTATCCAGGTGTGGTGGTACATGCCTGTAATCCCAGATACCCCAGAGGCTGAGGCAAGAGAATCACTTGAACCTGCGAGGTGGAGGTTGCAGTGAGCTGAGATTGCACCCTTGCCCTCCAGCCTTGGTGACAGAGTGAGACTCTGTCTCAAAAAAAAAAAAAAAAGTGAAGGTTAGAAAAGGTTAGAGTGAAGCAAGAAAGAAGAATATGAAGGTGTGGAATAAAGAAAGGGTGTGTAGAACCGAGGTCAGAAAGAATTTCTAGGTCGGGAAAGTGAAAGGGGTGGCAATACATGGTGGTGGAGGTGGAGGTGAAGGGGGTGGTGTTGGAAGTGGTTGTGGTAGGGGAGGTGATGGTGGAAATGATGGTGGAGATGGTAGAGGTGGTTGTGGAGGTGGTGGTGGAGATGGTAATGGAGATGGTAGAAATGGGGGATGGAGTGGCAGAAGTGATGGTGAAAGTGATGATAGAGATGGTGGAGGTGGTGGTGGAGACGGCAGAAGTGATGGCAGACATGGTGGAGGTGGTTGAGGAGGTGATGGTACAGATGGTGGAGATGGTGGTTGGAGGTGAGGGTGGTAGAGGTGATGGTGGAGGTAATCATGGGAAGGTCAATATAATTTGGCCAAGAGAAAACAGTTTGGGGTCAGACATATCTGTTCAAATTCTATGTCTCTCAACCTATAAAATGGTGACTATAAGATACTGACTTTTTGGGTGGTTCTGTGAGGGTTAAAAATATGATTGCAGACTGAGGCGGTAGCTGGCCAGGTGAGGAGGGTGGTCGCCAGCTAGGCACGGGTGGGGCAAGGGTAAAAGAAAAAGATTGCATTAAATGGCACTTATCAATATCAGTTTTCAAGTTGCCACGGCCACGCTGAAACATTTAATCACTTTCATCATTTCTTCTTTATGCTTTGTGGTATTTTCTAAATTTTGTAAAATGAAAGTGAGTTTTTAAAAGAATCATTAATTTAAAATAAAATTAGAAGCCTAGTTATCAGAATGGTTAAACTCATGGTAGTATATAAGGAAATTTCATCAATGAAATAATATTTATAGAAATATTCTCATGATGTAATGCTAAGTCAAAAAGGCAGGAAGATAACTTTTTCAACTATGTAAAAATACTGCAGAGAAGCAAGGTAAAATGTGTTAAAATGTTAATATATGAATAGTAGGTTTATTGCTCAGGGTTTTTCTTTGTACTTTGTACTCTATATTTTTTCCCCAGCTTTTTCATTAGTGAAACATACCTGAACTGAAAGAAAACAAATGTTGAAAGAAAATAAATAGGCTGGGTGTGGTGGCTCACACCTGTAATCCCAGAACTTTGGGAGGCTGAGGCAGGCAGATCACCTGAGGTTAGGAGTTCAGAACCAGCCGACCAACATGGCAAAACCCTGTCTCTATTAATAAAACAAAAAATAGCTGGGTGTGGTGGCAGGCGCCTGTAATCCCAGCTACGCCAGAGGCTGGGGCATGAGAATCATTTGAATCTGGGAGGCAGAGGTTGCAGTGAGCTGAGATCACGCCACTGTACTCCAGCCTGGGCAATGTTGAGTGAGACTCCATCTCAAAAACAAAAAGAAATAAAGAAAAAGAAAAATGAACAAAAATTTAACCCTCCTTAAATCTTCTACCAACAGGACAATAAAAGCACTGTTTTAGTCATAGTGTGCTAAAGTTTGTGGTTCATTGCTGCCTAAGAAATGACACTTAAAATTTACGTTATTGACTGTGTGTGGTGGCTCACGCCTGTAATCCTAACACTTTGGGAGGCTGAGGCGGTGGATCACCTAAGGTCAGGAGTTCGAGACCAGCCTGACCAACATGGTGAAACTCTGTCTCTACTAAAAATATAAAAATTAGCCAGGTGTGGTGGCACATGCCTGTAATCCCAGCACTCAGGAAGCTGAGGCAGGAGAATCACTTTAATCCGGGAGTTGGTGGTTGCAGTGAGTTGAGATCGAGCCACTGCATTCCAGCCTAGGTGACAGAGCAAGATTCCATCTCAAAAAGAAAAGAAAAGAAAAGAAAAAGAAATATTATTTAGTCTTTATAGGGGAATCCCCTTAAAGAGTAAGACTGGGGCAGAATCGTGTGTCAACTCTGAAGTAAGAAAAAGGAAACATGGTCCCACTGGGTCTTGCTGGTCTGATTAATTCCTAGAATGACATGAAAATGGGTTATTTTCTCTGGATGGTTTAAAACTGTGTCTAAACCTGAGTTTGATGACTTCCTAGCAAATTCAATAGCCAATTCATCAGTTATTCCTTCTAAGCTAAATTTAGATCTCCCAGTATGAGAGTAATTCATTTTTTTTAGGGAATGTTGCTGTATCTCTATCATCTTGGTATGTATGGGGAGAGGTCATGAAAACATTTTTGTAGAGTCACAGATTATTTTCTAGAGTCAATAATTATTATTCCTGTTGTTAGAATCTTGGCCCTGCCCTCTGACAGTGCCAGCAGGTCACCATGGAGTCCCTTATCAGAGACTTAACCAAAATAAAATATTTTGGCTTATAGGTATTGAAAAGGCTCTTCTGTCTTTGTCTCAGAATCAATCGTTGTCTTAGAAAGGAGAGATAGTTGGCAGCCAAAGAGGCAGAGGGCTGAACAAATGTGAGCAAAGATAGGCCTCCCAGACTGACACAGGGATTGAAATAGAAGCAGCTGAAAAGTGAAAAGTGAGCCAGCTTACACTCACCCCAAAATTACTAGGACATGGATTAAGTCCTTCAAAGGAAGTCTGAATAAAAAATGACTAGATCATCAAGGAAAACTAGTTCAAGTTAGAAATGAAAGAATTAATCAAACAAACAAACAAAAACCCAGCGTGCAATAGGCATTGAAATAGAAATAGCAGCATGATAGGATTCCCAACAGAGTCTATAGCATCTTCTGAATATTTCATATGTGGAGTGCTGAATAAAAACCAGTGACATTACTGAGCACTTGCTAGGTTCCAGCACTGTGATCTGCACTTTTATTTTTACCTTTTGCTTTACATTTACATTTAGTTACATTTACGTTCACGATTTCTTTTTTTTTCTTCAACTTTTATTTTAAGTTCCAGGGTACATGTGCAGGATGTGCAGGTTTGTTACATAGGTAAATGTGCGCCATGGGGTTTGCTGCATAGATCAACCTATCACCTAAGAATTCAGCCCAGCATCCATTAGCTATTCTTCCCGATGCTCTCTCTCTACCCCCAACCCCCACAGGCTTCAGCGTGTGATGTTCCCCTCCCTGTGTCCATGTGTTTTCATTGTTCAGCTCCCACTTGTAAGGGAGAACATGCGGTATTTGGTTTTCCTGTTCCTGCATTAGTTTGCTGAGGATACCAGCTTCCAGCTCTATCCATGTCCCTTCAAAGGACATCATCTCGTTCCTTTTTATGCTATTTCAGCCACTTCTTAAAATAGTTCTGGGAAATAGTGCTATTGTTATCTCCATGAAACTGAAGCTTAGACAGGTCAAGTACCCTGCCTCAAACCACCACAATCATCAGGGGAGAAGGATTCGAACCCAGAGCTTTGTGTCTCTGAGCCTGTGATCTAACTGTCATTCTATACATTACATTGTTTTCATGTATGTTAAAGTTTTTGTTATAGAAATAGTGATTTGAGACCAAGAATTGGGAGATGAAGGGTGAGTCTGAGCGAGCACATTTGCTCTACTTTGAAATTGCCCAAGTGAAATTCTTTTCTACTTCCTTAGTGAGGAGCAGTGGAAAGGAATTGTTCTCTTTTTCAGGGAACTGCCTGTGCCTTGACATGATTGCACATCCATGGTTGTCTTCTTAGGCAGTCAGGTGATAGCATGTAGGAAAGGCTTCCAGCCAGCAGGGAACAAAAGGGGTCTAGGGGGACCTCAGAACCATCCCTGAGTAATTCACAACCACAGTCGAGATATGTGACTGTTCTGTCACCACAAGGATCCCTCATGCTACTCTTTCACAACAATAACCAATCTAATTAAAAAATATCCAATTTGCATTTTGAGTATGATTGGACCCATATTGATGGGGCTTTCTCTTATGCTCAGCTTTTTAGTGGGCATGCCACAGATCGAAAGATTAGGAGACTTGAGCGTCCTGCCTGTGGTATATCATAGTTTTGTGCTACAAGCAAGCATTTAAATTCTCCACGCTTGAATTTTCTCATCTATAAAAGTTGGGATAAAAATACTGAATCAGACCAGGTGTGGTGGCTGATGCCTGTAATCCTAGCACTTCAGGAAGCCGAGGTGGGAGGATCGCTTGAGGCCAGGAGTCAAAGACCAGGCTGGGCAATATAGTAAGATCCCATCTCTACAAAAATAAAAAATGTGGCCAGGTGTGGTGATGGGTGCCTATAGTCCCAGCTACTCAGGAGACTGAGGCAGAAGGGTCTCTTGAGCATAGGAATTTGAAGTTGCAGTGAGCCATAATTGAGCCACTGCTGCAGAGCCTGGGCAACAGAGTGAAAAAAACAAAAAACTAACCAATTGCTTTGATGTATGGGCCAAAGGAAAGTAAGCATATATAGTTAGAAGAAAACGAAAGTATTATAAACCAACAGAGCCCTTCTAAGAAACTAATACAGAAGGTAAGGAATGAAAGTA